CATCGTTGGCTATCCGCCACAAAGTCCGACACGGGTCTTCATCTCAGCGAGTCGAAACAGCTATCTCTTGAAGTAGCCGACAGGGGAGGAGGACAACATTGTTGGGAGAAGAGGTTGAACGAGGGGAGTGGAGAGCGTTTGAAAGAGGGAACAATCGTATGTCAATTGAAGTAGAGCCTGTGGAATATATTAACAACCTTTGGACAGCATCCTTTTAGTCAGTGGACGTGCATTTACGGTCTTGTCCAACCATGATGTAAGTTGTAAGCGGATATTTCACGCACGTAATGTCCTTGTCCACGCCTAGTTGTGTCGCAGTTAAACTTGACGCGCTCATGTTACTGTTTTTTCTGATCGGCAAGGCTGTGTTCGCCTGCTACAGCCTCGAATCTACGGTAATCAATTTAAGAGACAGACTCCTTGCAATGCAAGCGGACACTATGCAGTCTTATCCATTTTGATAGCTTGGAAAAAGGTTTTCAGAAAGGCCCTTGCATCTTCCTCTGTTATCGCATAACTAGAATGAACCTACTACGACCTCTATACACCATCATACTTACTAATCTCCGTGTTCTTACTACCATTTTAGATGTCGTAGATATACTTATTCACTGCGCTGGATTTGCTGTCGCCAAGACCTTTCTATCAACCCCGGCGGAGGCCTTCGATGAACAGATGGCTGTCTCCTACTTGGGTCCTGCCCACGTGACCAAAGTTCTCTTGCCAAAAATGCTCATACCGGCCGCAGATGGCTCCGTGCAGCCAAAGGACAGACGTATAGCCTTTTTCAGTAGTATCGGTGGCCAGCTAAGCATATATGGTTACTCGGGCTATGCTGCCAGCAAGTTTGCTATCAGGGGTTTCGCCGGCGTTCTGCGTCAGGAGCTGGAACCGACTGGCATTCTTGTCACCACTGTCTACCCACCGGATACTGACACGCCTGGTTTTGCTGTAAGTTTGACAACAATTGCCCGATAACAAAAAAAAACAAGCAGTTAAAAGTACAACCAACAGAGACAGAGGACTTACTGCAGTAGGGTCCTGTTTAAACGCGCTTGTTGTCGTCAGTCAGTAACGCGTAGGTTTTAGGCCGCCACAATCTCAGTCTTAGTGGTGGGGTTGTTCTCACGGACAAGCAGAGTCACAACAATGACCCATCTAATTGTGTCTCACCTGGTGAAGAAAATAAATATCTGATGTCCGCATCTAGTGGTACTCTTGTCAGGTGAAATGAGGTCTTGGAAGCGTGCCTCCTACCTGGCTAAAAATTCGTCTCGGATGCGGGCTCACATGTGTCCAAACCGTACAGTTGTGTGCTTGCGCTTTTATTTTGTCTAATTTCTCGTATTATACAGGGAAGAAAACTTTGCCAGTTTTATGAAACCAGAAACCCCTTTGTGCTGTGTCCTGCATTAGAAATAATTGGTGAGAATAGGACCGCCCAATAGTAATAGGAGCTCCTCTAATAGTGTTCTTGGTCTATAGCCCTGCTTTGTTAACCAATAGGAGTTGTCCTTATAGTTTTGTTGGTTTGAAGTTGAAGGTGTTCTTTGGGAAATAGGGTTTATTGCGTGAATTTTCGACACTGGAGCCCCAGCTCGTCGTCAGACGCACAGTAAAGTGAAAGTACCAAAAGACAGCTAACATCGAGAGTGTATGGGAAAATCGATAATGGCGTGGTTTGGCGCTTGCACCAGTTGGCTATTGCCATGTTTCTCATCCCCTTCGCATTGGCTCGCGTCGCGCCCATTTCTCCTTGAGACTTTTGTACACATAATCAAGCTCGATTTGCCTGTTGATGCATTGCCTTGAGGAAATCTCGGCACCGACAATACGAGTTTTGTCCCACGCGAAGTTGCGCCCGGTACCCAGGGTGTGCGTGGCGACATGAGACAAATGATCTCGTCTTTTTACTGCCAACTGATGTTCGTGGATGCGTACAGAGGCGGATTTTCCCGTCTGACCGCAATAAACGGCATAACACGTTCCACACCGGATCTTGTAGATAACTTCTTTCTTATCCAAATATTTAACCCTATCCTTGGGGTGTACCAATTGGTTGCGTAAAGTCGTCATTGGCTCATGAGCCACCCAAATGTTATGTTTCCTTAGGTGTTCGTCAACGATTTCAAACACGTTTTATTGGTCTATAGGCTTCCTTTGCTAACCAATAGGAGTTCCTCTTGGTCTTTTTGTTCTTTTTACAAACTTTTCACTTCCATTTTAGGTTCGGTAGAACAATTACAAGCCGCTTTAATTTATTTTCTCCTATACACTTATCACACATTAACTGCTCATTAATCAAGCTTTAAACCTTATACCCACAAAGTCTGTCAGGTATTTGGGCTGGGAGACTTTTGTCATCATGCGGCCCTACAAAATAATTTATCTTCTACCACAGCCTCAACGACTGCTAGGTTTTGCCTCTTTTCCAATTTGTCGACCTCGCGACTCACTACCGACTTTTTGGCCGAGGACGCCTGAATTTCCACGACCCGTCGAGCCCAGCATTCTCTTCAAGCTCATAGTCGCCGGTAGAGGCAATGTTTTACTTAAAATGGTAATATCATTTAAGAGTAGAAACCTGCCCTGTCTTCAGTGAGAATTTACAAAAAGTGTAATTTTCTTACGTAGGTGGCTTGTCACACATGCCAATCATTCTAACTTCTTATGCCTGCTTCCGTCACCTATCTTGCCACGACGTGTTAGGTTTGCACGCGTTACTGTTAACAAACTAACCTGCTCACAGCCCGGTTTACGTTCGCAAGCTGACTTTCATTCATGAGCGTCACAGTTGGCAAATATGGTACCTATGACCTTGACTAGTCAGACTTAGTTATTGCGCAGGGCTGTCACTAACAGCTGATTCGTGGCAGCTGGCACTGATAATATGTACAATGTAAAGCAAATGCTGCTAAAAATACCTCGGTTTACGCCTTTACTACCAGTCTGCCGACGATGACTTTGCAGCCTTTGGGCAGCCGAGAGTTTACTTTTCAGAAACAGAGATAGCTACTTATTTCCCTCCACCTATCTTTTTTGCCTCGTCCTCCCTCCCTGCCTTCAGAACGAGAACAAAGACAAGCCGCATGTCACGGAGATAATTAGCGGTCCCGCTGGTCTCTGGTCGCCCGATGTTGTGGCCGCCCATGTAATGCACGACATTCTCGTGGGTAGAGCTGAGAGCGTGCAGGGCGTTGTCGGCTGGGCAATCCTCTTGGCAACTTCTGGCATAAGTCTACCGCACGAG